TCGGACTGACTGACATCTTGGGTGAACTTCTCCGCTCCCCTCTGGCTCTTCCAGGAGCCATCTCTGTCTTCTGGGGGAGCTTTCTGCTGGTTTTAAGGCAGTTTTACTGAAGAAATGTCCCTGTTCTCAAATGGCGAAGCAGGATGCAGTCCCTGCGCTCCGGTTTCAGGCACACTCTTCTGCGCACCGGCTGCCCGGACGTGGGTGCCTGCTCCCTCTGTGGGCTCAGACTGCTGGTCGGAAGGGGCCTGGCGTGGAATAACTTCCCGGCTGGCCACTGGTCCTCCAGAAAACCTTCTGCCCTTTTCAAGCAGACTTAAGAAATGTCCTGTTTTATAGGGTGTTAGTGACTTTTTTTTTTCTGGTCGCTAGGTGGCGCCAGAGATCTCTCCTATTGTCCTTGGGGGCTGTTTTTCGCCTCCCCCACCCCGTGGGACAGAGAACAGAGCGGGAATGGTAGGTACACCTCAACAGCTTTGGGGTGCTGTGTCTGCCTTGTGCCCCACCGTCGTGGAGAAACCACGCCCCGAATTTTCGTGCCCCGGGTCTCAGTTCAAAGCCCTCAGGTCCAGGACGCGGGCTGTAGCCCAGTTCAGTGGCGTGGGAATGGCGCCTTTTGCACCCGGCTCCCGTGCCTGGGCGCCTGGTTCCTGCTTACTCAGGGAGGGACCTTCACCTCAGTGAGGACCTCCGTGCGTTTCCCCGCAAGCCTAGGTCGTCTCCCCGCCAGCCTAGGTCACAGGCGCGGGGACCTGGGCAGCCGCGATCCCGGTCTGCACTTGCTTTTCAAGCGCGCCAGGCGCGCCGCGTTTCCCCGCGCAGGCTTACCGGCAGCCGGGCTGTGTGCGCGTCTCCCGGGGTCTTTGTTCTTCTCTAATGGCGCCCAGAGCCGTTCGCTCACCGCCGCGGCGGATCCTGCAGGGTTCGTCTCAGCTCCCGTTCACGGGGTGTGGTGGCTGCAATAGTTCCATTCCGCTCACAGTCCCGCTTGCTGCGTCGTTTGTTCTTGTCGGTTGTTTTTCGCATAGGATTTTTTAAATATATCATACTGCATTCTTTCATGCCTGTATCCTTTGTTCAGAAGATCAGATAAACATTGACAAGGGCTGGGGACCAGGTAACACAAATTCTCTTATATAAAATAAATGCTTTTTCTATCAATAACATTATGCTTTTTGTTTATTCATACTTCACTTAAGTCCCCAAAAGAATTTAAGATGACATATAAAATTCTATATAAGGTAAGGTATGCTAAAATAAAAGAGAAAGATGAGATAAAGACAAGAAGATATAATGTGAAATGTATCCTAAAAGTCTGTCTTCCTATTAACCCAAACAGAAATTAGCAACTGCATACTTATCAATATTCAAAAAAAAGGCAAATGTATTTCTCATGAATAGCATCATTTGGTTCTTATTTTAAAACTAAAGCAATTTTGATTTCAACCATTCTTCTTCAAAAAGAGGACGCTGTCATCAAGAGAATCCTTAAGTTTAACATGATAGTTTCAAGGATTGTTTCTTACAATATCCTTTGTGGTCAGCCAAAATTATAATGTCCCCAAAACAGTTCAGTATCAATGATTTTACAGGCAACAAAACAATTCATGACTGCAATTTAATGCTATCCAGACTTCATCCACTTGTAGATATATAAGTATCTAGAGAAATAAATACACTGTATATTCCTAAAGCACCAGTTATGTGTAGCGTTTTTCTTGTCTGAGATTTGAATAAATATTGTCAGCAATAAATCTGTCATCATATTCCTTGAATAACTGATACAGTGCAGATATAGGTTGTGGTTGTAAAATGTAGAGACATTTGTTTTAATAGTTATTTGACATTCTCCGCTGAAATTCTGTAAGCTTTTCCAGAATGTAAGCAGGAACAGAAAGCTCTTCCTTCCTCTGTTCAGGGGCAAGCTGAGAGAGTGCTTGCTCATTAAACAAAGGTCTCATTGGGCTACGGTCTAAGCTGGGATCCAATTTTAACATGGACTAATAGAGGAGCAAAGCCTCAGTGTTCTATCATATTGCACAGAACAGTGTTATACTTGTTTTAATCCAGATCAGAAACTTTTTAAGAATGTGCAGAGCCTTGTCTTTTATAAAATCTCAGTAATACCAGCCCTCCCTCATCAATATAATTTTGAAAGGACACATCCCTTGATTGGAAAATGAATAGAATATTCCCTAGTTAAACAGTTAAATGTTGGCATACACATTGGATCATATATATATAAAACTTGCCTTAATGTTAAATTCTTCCTTCTCTCTGAAAGCAATTAGATTAGGGCATAGCCAGTAATTGGTTCAGGTTATTTCAGTTTTTTAATAGTGTTTCTGTATCATATTAATTTATACATACAAATTTATTTTTATCTTTGAAAGGAGTTTTTTCCTACTCAGGAAGAAAGACAGAAATTGCCATTGATGCTTTATGATCTTTATGGTTCATCAAAGTTGTTCCAGCTAAATCCAGATTTTCGAAGTGCTGTTTGCAGGGACAAGCATTAATACCCAAGGGAAGGGTATTGTAATGTAGCAAAGAGAACTCTAAACAATGTGCTTAGTATCAAAAATATTGACAGAGTGAATTAGGGGGAACAAAACTCTATCTTTGCTTTCTTTACAGCTTTGCTATGAAGTAAAACTTCGGAGGAAAGTCAACATGAATGAACGTGCTAGGATTGCCGATCTTGATCGTGAGAAGTCCACTCAAGATAAAATGGTGGCATGTTCTCCAAATTACCCCACTTCAGGAAAATGTGAATTTATAGGGATGAATCACAGGGATGGTCTGGAAAAGGACAATAAAATGGAGCAGAGCTTACTAGAGGAAGGAAATCAAATGTGTAAGGAACAAAAAGAATCAAAAAAATCCAAAGTAGGGTTTATGGATCCTTTGGTCACAAACAACCAAAAGAAAGGTGAGGCCTGGCTTGACCTGAGGACTTCTGAGGAAGAGAGCAAGGGCTGTTCTGGCGCTCTCAACACTGTAAGTGAGATGTGATTGACCTACAACTGTTTCTAAGGAAATATTTACATTTTGAAATGCTAACATACTATTACTTCTATGTATAAAGGCTCTTGAAGAACTTGCCAAAGTTAGTGAAGAATTATGTACCTTTCAAGAGGAAATTCGAAAGCGGTCTAACCACAGAAGGTAAGCTATACGTTTCTGATTCTTTTATGCTGGAGAATTAAAAAAGAACATTATTTTCAGTCAGTGTATCCAAACTCATATATTCTCTGTTCATTTAAAGCAAATCTAATGATTCTTGTTGTAATCTGAGTATTTGGATTACTTTACTGTCTGTTAAAAGTTAATGTGTCCTTTAATATAGTTCTTTTTTGCTTTATGTTTATTTGTTTTACAAAATAAATTATGATATTATTGTAAAATTCTTACAGATGAAAATTTAATTGTTTATCCTGTCCATTTCATTTTAGAATAATCATGACACATATTTTTGTACTGTGTATTTCAACTCCTGGTTAAAGTATAATAAACCTATAATTTTTGGCTTGTTTTTAGTTTCAGTTACAGACCCCATCATAAAATGTGTTACCAACAGCCATATCCCAAGCCCCTAAGTAATACTGTTTTGGCTATTACTTCAATCCTGAAGAAACAATCTTTGAGTTCTATCACCTTAAAATGTCACTGTCAGCCAAGGATTTTTGTGTCCTCCAATAGAAACAACCCTAGAATCTTTAAAGTCCTTTATAACAGCATTTTCACATGTGCAAAATTCCACTGAAATAAATATATTTCATTTACCATACCCATCCAGCATTCATGTTGCCAGTTACTTTTTAGGGATATAATTATTTTAATTAGGACAATAAGATAATAAATTACCTGCTTTCTATCTCAATGTTTTAATTCTCCTCCAGCCTAAGTTGTACAACTATAGAGAATAAAATAGTTGACTTCTGACTCAAAGTATGGAAGAAATAGTATTAGCATATGTGTTAGGTCATTTGTCAATTAAGAAAGACACACATTTTGCTTTCCACTCTAACAACCTGTGAAGCCATATTGTTGCTATAATTAAGGTATATTTGATAACTCAGAAAAGATCTGTCAATTTTTTTTTTTACAAATTACACCTTGTCTGAAGTTCTCCTGTCACTCCATAGCTTTTAGGAAAAATTCAGAATCTTTACTATATAATTCAAAGACACTATATAATTTGACCTAATCTTTCTCCTTACTTTCTATCATCCTTCCAACTCTGCTTTATAATCCATCCACACAAAACAACTTACTTGAATAGCCACACTATTTTTATTGCTGCTCACTATGCCAATATGCCCTTTACTCATCAAAGAAAAGTGTTTCTTTCAAATCCATTAATGCCTTCCACTGGGTATTACTTCTATTCCTATTTATGTCATACCATTTAAATTGTTATTTCAAATTCAAGGGAAGGAACTTGAGCTCACATGACAAAATGGGTAGGAATTCTCTTGGCAGAGTAGCGGAAAGGAAATGGCAAGAGGAAACATATAGAAACAGGAATGCCAATAGCAAATGCATAGAGGCTACACAGACACACCAGAGGTCACACAGTCTGGGTGTAGGTGAAGTTTCAAATAATAGAAAAAAAAGAAAGATTAGTAAGATAATTTGGGTCAAAATATGTAGAGATTTGAATACAACACTGAAAGGTAGGCTTTCTCCTGCAATACAGGTGACTTGAAATGTTTGACTAGGGATTTATATAAAAATGATGCTCAAGGAAGTTCTGAAATTTTTATCCTGTAGCAGAACCCCATTGCTTCGTTCTTGTTTTCTTTAAGAGCTTATCTCAAGTAAAATTATCACTAAAATACTATGTTTATAATTGTTTAGGATGAAGCCAGAGTCTTTCCTCCAGGAAATGCCAAATGTAATTAATCTGCCTCATGGAGACCGCATGATCAACAATGGCCAGTGCATTCTTCCAATCAACTTAGAAAAAGAAAAACAGAAATATGGAAAGAATCTAAGTGGTAATCATATTCTCCAAAACAATTCTATGCAAATATGTGGAATTGATGCAATCAATATGCAACAAAATGAAAGTCCACCACTTCCTCCTCCAAGAAGCACATCTCGAAATTTTCCCTGCTCATATGCTGAACAAGCCCATGGAAGTTTAAAGGCAAATTTAGACCACAACACTTGGGTGGTACCAGAAGGTCAAGGTGAAAGGAACTGCAACCCTCATTTCCTTCTGAGTCACAATGAGATGCCTGTGTGTTGTTTAAATGAAGGGAAGACTTCAAAAGATAGCATCGTGTGTTCTTCTTTGGCACCAGAAGCTAAAACACCTAACAAACCTCTGGGTAATGAAAATGCTGGACGTAGCATGTGGTCATGTGACATTGGGATAGGTGCAAAAAATAGCCCTTCTGCATTGTGGTTTCAGAAAACCTGCTCTACTCCCCATAAACTCAAGTATGAAAAGGTCATCCCAGATCACCCTGCTAAATCTCATCCTGAACTTCATAAGAGCAATGACTGCTACTCCCCCATGACGCAGAGCAGTGGCCCATTTAGAAGTTTCAGCTGTGGCTTTGAACGGACTACAAGGAATGAAAAGCTGGCAGCAAAGACGGATGAATTTAACAGAACCGTATTTAGGACAAATAGAAATTGTCGTGCAATAGAGCAAAATCAAAGCTACTCAAAATCATCTGAAGGTCTTAAGCCCTCTGATACCTTAATTACATGCACAGGTAACATATCAGAAAATGACAGTGTATCTGATATTCTGAAAACTAGTGCCTACATACCTGTGCCCAGGGAAAACGTGTCTGATAATCCCACCAAAAAATCCACCACAGGCTTAGTCAGGCAAATGCAGGACCGCTTGAGTCCTAGCAGTTATCGAAACATGCTTCATGAGCATGACTGGAGACCAAGTAATTTGTCTGGCCGACCAAGATCAGCTGACCCCAGGTCAAATTATGGTGTTGTGGAAAAGCTGCTGAAAACCTATGAGACACCAACAGGGTCTGCATTGCAAAATTCTCAATGTTTCCAGAATAATTGGACCAAATGTAATTCTGACATTGGTGGTGGGGCCACGTCAAGTCAGCACTTAGAAGTGCTCCAAATAGAACAAGAGCTTCAGAGAAAGACAGCTCTGGGTGGGGCACAAGTGAAGCAAGGAGTAGATTGGAGAAAGATAACAAAGGTGAGAAAGTAAATAACCTATTTTTGTAGAGCTGCCTGTCTGCTTAGCAGTGGTTTAGAGTTCAGTCAATCGCCTGTTCATACAAATAGAATGTAGGTGCATCTTTTGGTTTCTTCTTAGTTTCTTGACACCATTTTTATGAATAAATGTTTACTTTAGAATTATCTTTCAATGTGAACTTTTTAAAGTACAGTTTTTGAAACTGGGAATAGCACAGTTTTTGAAATTCTGAAGTGAGAGCATAAATAGGTTTAAGAACCTCAGAAAATCAAGTGTTTGTTGTAAGTTTCTCGAAAAACTATTGCACGTATGCATTTGTTGATTTATAGAATTTCCCTTTTAGAAGTCTTTATATTTTTTAAAGTTTATGGGAAATATTTTTTAAAGTATTTGCAGTTTTCAGTTATTCGCTGTGATTGGGTCAGTCATTCCCAGCTTTTGATTCTTGTTTTTTTTCTCATGGTGTTAATCACATGAATGTGAGTGTAATCATTTCAAATAGTGCCTGTTAGAGTTATCTTATTTGTGGAGTTAAAAGGCAACCATGAAAGTGGAAAATGATGTTACAGCTTAAAGTAATAGGACATTCATATTTGTATAAATTCTTGATATTAAAATTGCCCCCAAAATGGGTATTTAAATAAACTAGTACTCTTTTTCTGTTTGCAAAAGAATATACTTTTTGTTACTTATAGAAGAAAAAGAGGTCAAAGGTATTGGTATTTACCAAGAAGTGATATCCAACAGTCCCTTTTTAGACATAATTTACAAATAATTACGAGGTGACATTGTTGTAATTAGTCATTGCTTTAAAACTCTTAGTTTTATAGAATGCACTGTTTATGCAGCATAATTTTAAACTATACCTCCTTCTGAGGTAAACAAAAATTGTTTTAATGTGGTTTTCAAACCCTGCAAAATATCCATTTTTATTTATTTTATCAAAATCTTGCCTGTTTGTACATTGTGCAAATAATTTGCTTGCTTTTGCATTTCTCTGTTTTTATTAATGTCCTGTAGCTTCATATGGGAAATGGAAACATGTATGTAAAAATCAACCAATATTCTCACTAGCCAGCAAGAAATATTACTAAAGATTTCTCACTCTTATATTGATGGGGGATTTCCTCCATGTAGATCTTGTGTATTAGTTCTACATACCCTACCCTTGGAACAGGTCTGAAAAAATAAGACTAAAGAGAGAAAGAGAAAAATCTGGACTGTCATAAAAATGAAGTCCATCCATATAGCCCATCTCAGATGAAAGAGCACAGATTGTGTAAAAAGGTCAATAAGAACCAAAAGTATAAGATGGAAATGTTTTATTTTGAATTGCAAGGGTCCAAGGATGTTTTTCCTTTAAAATTAAAAAAGAAGAAAGGAAAGAAAGGAAAATATTTTCAATCATCAGAAGATGCCCACTATAGATAGCAACTCTTTATTAGAAATTAGAATAAAGTTATATTTCACTGAAGTATTATAGTGATAATTTTGAAGTTGTTGAGAGATAGTGACAGCAATTCCTAGTGAAAGAGAAAGAAACATCAGTTAAAGAATTTGTTAGTTCACATGCCTTTTGCTTAAAGTGAACTCAGTTTCTTCTATAATTTTTTTCTGTTTTAACATAACAGCAAAACATCCTAATAACCCTCTAAGAACATCTGTCATTTCATCATATTAAAATTATTAAACATGAACTTTTCAATCATGAACTAATAAGTTCTAAAAGAGATCAGCTGTATTAAGAATTATCATTGTGAAGCGATCTATAAAATTATCAAATGCCATATTCCATATTAAAAGTGCATTGATTAAACATCAAGACCATAAATATTAGATAAGTATTAAATAAGCAGATAAATCTTTAGCTTTTACTGCTTTTTCTTTTGTACAAATATGCTAATTCATTAATCCAATAGTTGGGGTCAATAATATAGTAAACCTACTGTTGGCGCCTGCATAATGAGATGAATGTCTTTTTGTATGTCTTAGGAATCCATGGCAGTGAAGTCCTCACAAGGAAAAGGGTTTTCCCGACCTGCTAGGCCAGCAAATCGCCGTCTCCCTTCCAGATGGGCCTCGAGGTCTCCATCGGCGCCCCCTGCCTTGCGGAGAACTGCCCATAATTACACTATTTCTCTCCCATCTGAAGCATCAATGGTCTGAGTCTCTGGCCTGAATTGCTAGATTACAAAAAGTCCCAGTTGCCAAACAGAGCATCCTGAGTGTTTGCAACCAATCCTCTCTCTTCTGTATCTGTCAAGATCACTGGGACAAGCAATTTAAATCTTACTCCCATCAGTCTTCAGTGTTTTTATTCTATGGAAAAATTACCTTTCTGTATTTTGATTTCTTAGATCAAATTTTTTAGTGCCATCCTCATTACTTTGCTGATATGATAAGTTGAAACAGTGTATTATATTGTATATTCTAACTTTCTTGCAAGTGTCAGAAAGCAAGATTATGTGCATGGTCATGTGTTTGTAGGTGCATGAGTTGAAATAAGACATATCTTAGTATGTATTTAGATAAGAAAAACATATGTGCTAGTGTTGACTTTGAAATTATAACATGTATACCTATACATTCTTTGTGTTTATTTAAAATTTTGAAAATATACAGTAATACTGTTTATATTTTGTATACCTTTTAATGGGTATCCACATAAGGCATTTGAGATACATGTACTAATTAACCACTTCCTTGGCCCCAAGTACATTGAAAAATAAGAATTATACACATCTCTAATATTGATAGATTTCTATATACAGCTCATAGTTTCTTAATCCATATAAGATTAATACCATTGATTTCCTTGTTAGCTCTTTTAAGTAAATTGTCATAAGTTTTAACAGATCAGACATCCAAAGGAATGATAAAATGTTCACAAAGCCTTTTACATACCATTTGGTAGTCAATTATGGCTTTAACTATATACTTGAGACTGCCTTATAAGCAACGTGATTAAATTAGTGCATTTATTTTGCCAACTTCAGTAACAAACATTCCTTAAAGGGATATGAAAAGACATTTAATTATGCTGAGTTCTACCTTTTTTGCTTTTAGTTCATCTGTTTTATTTAGAGTCACATATATCTAGAGGTCAGTCATTTACTTTTTGCTTCAAATCTTTTCCCTAAAATTAGTAGCTAAAAGGCTGATTCATTTTCTTATTTAACAAGGAAAATCGAGAACAACATTTCGCTGACAGCTAAATTATATTGTATTTCTTACAGTATGTGACATTAAAAAGAAAGCCTTAAACTAAACTTTGGCATCTTTGAGTAGCTTAAGGGATGGAAATACATATTTTGGCCACAATTTGCATATAGAAAACATATTAAAATCTATATTGATAACTGACAGAAATGTGAATGTTGAGGTGCTTGAAATTCTACTAGGAAGACCTTAGCGGTAACTTTGCTTTCCACTGTCTCTATATAAAACCAATTTTGTTATTAGATATTACATAAATGTAAACTTTTCTTTTAACTACCAAAAAAAGTTAGGAAATTCTTATAAAAAAAGTTTTCAGAGACTTCTTATAATATAGTCTAACAACTTAGAGAAATTCACATCATTATGTACCGTAACTTGAGATAAACTAAATAATTTTCAAATCCCAGATTGCCTTAAAAGGCTCACGACTGTTGCGTGGTGAGGGACAGATCATCCTTTCCAATAAGAAAAGTGTTCAGGAGTTGAGCTGAATTTAACTTCTAGCATGTGAGTTTGGAGCAGATGGTAAGTAAGGTATAGAGATCGACTCTTAATTATTTGTCCTTCAGGAGTATCTTTTTTCCATAGAAGCCTGTCAGAAAAGTAACCTTGACATCAAATGGTGTCACTCATGTAGTATACTTTCCATACAGTTGGGAGACTGGCATAAAATGATAGATCTGTTAGGAAAATGCTGCTATGTGTAGCATTGGAGTCTGCCCAAGAACCATGCCACATATTTACTCATTCTTCAACATCATTCTACCCTAAGTAGTATGATGTGTATCTGTGGTTCTTACATTTAACTACAAGTCAGAATGTTGAAGATCTCTTTTAAAAATTAAATTCCTACTCAAACCCCACAGTTACTAAAATTGAATTTGCAGGGGTGAGAACAGGGACTCTGAAATCTTTAATAAAACAAAGTAAAACATTTGATGATTAGAGAAATTTGGAAGTAGTGGCATTTACTGATACCCTAACGGATGGGTACTATTGGATAGTCAAACATTACTTCCCTAGGACTTGGCCTTTGTCATTGGTAAATTGAAAGAGTTGTATTATCAGACTTCATAATTCTAAGTCACTTTTTTGATGACCATTATAATGAAACAGTGGGACACATCTTAATTTATTATATTGACTAAAATCATAGAATATTAGGACTGAAAAAAAGACATCTCCTCCAACTCTTGATTGTAAAAATGAAGAAACTAAACAGATTATTTGAATGTCCTGTTTTCTCTTTTAAAATATTTTGTATTTTTAATGGAAAACCCTATCAGGTAAATGGAAATTATCCTTGAAAAATATTTTTGATGTATTGTGATTTTTAACCAATAGTTTTTCTACTTTGGATGAGCATTTTCCTCTCAATAATATGCACTTCATTATGCCATTATTGCTGAATTTGAGGGACTTGTGAACATTTTACAAATATTTAATTAGAAGCATTTGTGTTAATGGACATCTTCTCTATCCCAGAAAAAGGTCTTATAATATTTCATCTAAGGATTACTGATTTGGGTTGATCTCAGAAAGGAGTAAGCAGTGAAGAGAGAGTTTCTCTGTGCACAGGCAGACTTGTCTGTTTCCTTGCTATTTAACTTACTATACAGTGAGACCTCACTTACCATGACAGATAGGTTCTTGGGAACTGGTTAAGTGAAATTACATATAATGACACCAGGCCCTTGAGTAATGTAGTTTTGTTCAACGGAATTCTTTTCTTATCAACATTAAAACTTAACAATGTTATTTCAGGGCCTACTGTATTACCTTATGTCCAAAGCCAAATATAAATACTTTTAATAATTCACTTTATCAAAAATTATTCATAACTTCCATTAGTTTTTGCATAGACAGTACAGATGACCAGTTACAAGCATCACAAAATATGATTTAGTATTATTAGAGGATTTAGCCAGGCTCCATGGCATCTGTAGAAAATTTCTGGACCTAAAAGTGAGAATCTGTTTCCATAAAATAAGAATCTTTTAAAAATTATTTTACATACATTTGTTGAACAGCAACTACTTGATGTTGAAATCTTCAGCCATTGGAAGCTAGCATGTAAAACAGGCATGGAAACACCTGCTGTGGCATCTGTATACACTGAGAACATTTTGATTTCCTGAAGTGATCTCCAGTAAAGGTGAGAGCTGTGTACATTCTAAACTCAATTATGTGCACATTTCAACACAACTTCTCCCAAAATGTCTCTAGATAGTGGAAAATAAAAGCAAAACCTGATATCCTGCAGCTGACCACCTACAACCCAATGTTTTTCATACAGTGATATTACTTTGTACCTACTAAACTGCTAATGGAGTCTAAGTTTTGATTGAAAAGACAACTTAACTCCATACTTTGTACTGATAGGATGAAATTAGCTAACAATTTTAGGCAAGTTTATATTTTCATTTTACTACTATTTTGCTTCCAGTTCTGTATTTTTAATTAGCAAGTACCTTTATTGGAATGTATGACTATGACTTATTTAATTTCCTGGAACCCATAAAATATACCCCTTCAAAAAAACTGAGCTTCATAAAGTAAAAAATTAAAACAAATTTAAAAAAAGATTCAAGAGAGGATTCTTCAGGCAAGTGCCAAAGATAACTTCTACCCAACATTTTTTACTATATGAATTTTTCTTATAAGAATTTTTTTTCAATGGGAAAAATAATCATGACTTAAAATACAAACTATTTTGCAATGATCTTGTGAATCCAACAGGTAAGATTGGCAAGTTTCTCCAAAAAAAAAATTATTTATTGGAAGCTAGATATGGAAGGACCTAGACTAAAATTGGAGAAATTTCTAAATAACACAGAACAATCTTATTTAGAAGCGAGAAACTTGAAGCTTGGAGAGTCTGCATAGCTGCTGAAGTCACAGGGAGGGCAACCAACTGGGCACCAACACCAGGATCCTGTCTCCCTGTATAGTCATGTGAATCTGACTTGCTTTGCAAAGCTTGTTCAGGTGCCTTGCTTTGGTTACTTCTTAAAATGAACTTCAGGACAGCCATTATGATTTGTAATTACAGAAAGAAAAATTAAATAGCCATGATAATATTTCCCAGGAAAATACTTAGAAATAAATATCACTTCAGACTATTTAGGGTAGACTTTTTTCAGAAAGCAAGAGGAAGACAAAGCGTAGGCAGTTATATTTTATTCTTGACAAATTCTTATTTTGTTTCCACTGAAAGTTTTTCTTAATTTTATCTTTAAATGACCTTAAGCAAAAGTCATCATAATTTATATGGTTTTAATGATTTCAAGAGATAGTATTCAAGAAGTCATGAAGAAGGCTCAATTTATCAAAACAGTTGTTTTTTTATTTTTTATTTTTAATGCCTATACTCTGATATTATATAAATTTTGTATGTAGGCCAAAATGTTGAAGGTAAAGCCAACAAGTAGCCCAATTTAAGTATTCAAAACAATCTTCATCCTATAGCATCAACTGACTCCTGACCTCCTGTTTTCAAAAAATAGAAAAATTTCACTCTATGACTCAAATGTACTCCAGAATGAATGAAAGCATTTTACCTGGAGCATGATTTTATTTCTCATAATCTAATTCCAAAATTAGTTGTTTCCTACCAAATTTTTCCAGAAGCTTTATTCCCCAATTAAGTTACTTATGTAATTTTTAAAAAAATCATTAAATTTAATCCAGCTTTTTGAAATCTGAAGATTTTTTTCTACATAATGCTTTCCAGCCTCAAAATAATGTCAAATTATCTAACCCTAATGATACGCCTTTTCACTTCCATCTTTGTTTAAAAAAAAAAAGTGTTTAAATCATTAAAGAACTCTGAGTTAATGATATCTGGAGTGACATAGTTTGCAAGGAAAGTCAGAGAACCACTTACACTGTTTCTTAAGAGAAAGCTAAGAGTAAAAGGGGGGACAGACTAGATGTTAAAATTCAGGGGGTAAATCACTGGGAATAAAGACTTTTCTTAGGAAATGCCAGGCAAAGAAAGAAAAGGTGACTAGTTTAGTTACTCCTTAAAAAGGAAACTAAAAGTGGCTAAAACTAAATGAATTCCTGATGCATACAACTCAGCAAAACCAAGCACTAGACTTCCCAGACAAATCAAGGCCTGGAAATGCACATTAAGAACTCTGGGCAGGGGCCTCCTCTGGTGGCACAGCGGGTTGAGCTCCGAGCTGTGAAGCTGTCCGCAGCTGCCTCCGCAGCACCAGTTCGATTCCCGGCCAGCCAGGGAGATTCCCACATGGCAAGGCAGACCTCTCCTGCCTGGCCTGCTGCTCCCCTCCGCAGTGTATTTCAGTCTGCCTGCCTGTTCTGTTCCCCACTCTGTCTCTGGTGAATCCTCTCACTTTCCTGCGACTCTGGCCTGTACCCCAGCTCTTGTATAAATAAAAAATAAATCTTGAAAAAAAAAAAAACTCTGGGCAGACACTTCCGTGGAGTCAGGCAATCATCCTCCAGGAGATTTTTTTATTAATATATTTTATTTTATAATTCTTACATCATTTTTCATTTTTGCACAATGTATGCATTTTCATTTTGATTATATTCCCCATACAATTCCCACCCCCCTTATTTTGACCCTAATCCCTCCTCTCCTCCCCCCCTCCCCAGGGTGTCTCTGGTTTATAGTTGCTTGTCTAATTAGTCTTTTTCCTGGCCCCTTATTTAGGTTTTCCAAATTCCTGCTATGAGTGAGACTATCCGGTATTTTTCTTTTTCTTTCTGGCTTATTTCGCTGAGTATGATCCTTCATTCAAGCATCAGGGACCAGACACAGAGTCCCTGGCCAGAATAGAAATGAAATGCCCAGAGAAGGAAATGGGTCAAAACAAGCCCAATCTTGGGAACTACCATGTAGGAAACTTAAGCAAGAAGACTAAAGAAGGGGCATTTTCATTGGAACTAGGACTGGAGTGACCTTTACTGAAGTTGGGAGTTAAGAAGACTTGGGTAGCCAGTGAAGGACACACTTGTAGGTGTGCAGAGATGTAAACACCACAAAGCTGAAATGAAGGGAGGGTCAGTGCAACTTAATCTCTCATATGGGATTTTTTTTAGGAATGAAAAATAATGGAGGCCATCAGGAAACCTCACTGTGAGGGAATTTTAAAGACCGGCAAAGAGGATGAACTCTACAGTGTTACCCTTCCCTCCACTTTCCTTTTAGGTGACTGGTGATTCTATCACCAGAGTCTAAAATTCTTTCTAGAAATTTGATGAATGAACTACATATACCTTCATATAACAGACCATAAAAGCAAAGTTAAGGTACTTGAAAAATTATACCCCAGTAAGTCTTTCTTCAATAAAAATAAAAAATAGGCACATAGGCAAAGAGTAAGTTCATTTTCAGAACCTAAAATTACACAAAACTAAAAGGCATGCTCTTTCAGAGGATATATGGCTGATAGGCTGCTTCAGAGCTGCTGATTCATGCAGAATACAAAAGGGTGACCTTTCCCTCCGATATCAGGATTGTAGACTTATTTGCCTGAATGCACACATCAATATGTTTGTCCAGCCATTAAAAACAAATCTCATAAATCATCTTGCCTGATTATTTTACTATCAATTATCCTTATAAAATTTATCATCAAAAACTGGTATCTTATCAGATTGCTAAGTTATTAGCATCTGTGCTTTCCAGTTTAAAATATAGAGCAAGTGTAGCATTCATCTCTCAACTGGTCTTTCTAGAATATCCTGGTGTGTATGAACTACTGAGCATCATTCAGTAAATGTTTCTTTTCACCTTGCCAGTTTCTTTTTAAACCCTGACCATGAGTATTGCAACTTGGAGCTTCACCAAGTTTGTTTTATTGGTATATCTTTTTTGAAAGACTTCAAGTTAATTATCTGCTAATTTTGCTGATAATTCCTGTGCTTTACATTCCTATCCATTTTTTTTCCTTTGTTAGTTTAACATTTTCTGACTGAATAGCTCATTTTTAATGTTATCCCGGAGGAAGAACCAATGATTTATGCAACTATTCACCGAGTTTTATACACTAAAGATAGAAAGGATTAAACCTTTGATAATTCTAAAATAATATGGCTCATTTTAAATGTCTCTAGTTTCATCTTTCTATTTTTAGATGCCAGCTACCTAGTACCCATACATCAATAAAAAGAATGTTCTATGACATTTTTCACCATCAATTTCACTGATAAAGCTTCCTCTCTCAGAACATTGCTGATCCTTTGTACTAAAAATTTTAAGTCATCTTTCCTGTTTCACAGAATAACTAGCTTGTGATCTAAACTTCCAGTATTAAATGACATTGTTTCCTGTTGGAAATGTAATTTTAAAATTATTACACTTTAAATGTATAAATGAAAAATAAGGGCAATATCATATACACAGTATGGTTTTTGTTTTTTTTTTTTTTTTGTTCTTTATTATTAGGAGGTAGGATTAAAAGGAATTAAGCCCTTGAAAACAAGACATGAGAGTGGAAATTTTTAAATTCCATTTTGGACCCAATGACTTTCATTTGGATACAATCTAAAATTTGAAAACAAAATGCTGGTTCTTGCAGTAATAAAATAATTTCTCAAAGCACTGGCTGTGCACATTTCTGAGGATACATAAATTGGATTGCGGGTTTGGAAACAGGCCCGAGTCCAGGCAGGCTCTTTCTCAGTTCTTGTCTTCAGTAAGGAAAGAATTCAACGTCAAGATCAAAGTTACAAAAAGCAAGAGATTTATTGATAGACAAGAGGAAGGACAGGAAAGCTCTCCGAACAGAGAGGGGTCCCAAGTGGATGGCCACTGAGGTGGTGAGAAGTAGGTGCAGTGGGCAGGAGTGGGGGTTCAGTTGTTGGGTGTCTCTGCATTTTATCTCTTGTTGATTGGCTAGGGTGGGGAGGTGTTTCCAAGGCTGCCTAAGGCCCATTGAGTTTGCCCATGTTACCCTCTACATTGCTGAAAGTAACTTTGGCCCATTGCTTTAGCATTGTGTTACTGTTTTGGTGATCTGAACACTCCATTCTTTACTAGATTGGGGGGAGGAGGGGAATCTTTCCTGGTCTGCAATTGTTCTCCAATCAAACTGTTAAATAGACTTAGGGCCTGGGGCACTCTGTTCTTAACTGACTGCCTGTACACATTTCCTAACTTCTTCTTTCATTGTCACCATTTTCAGCTTTTTCATGCCAGCAGTCAGTGCAAAAGCACTGCGGGCAAACTCTGTTCTTTCCCAGGCAGCCCCTCAGCAGTGTATTTCAGTCAGTCTGCCTGCTCTGCTCCCCACTCTGTCTCTGGTGAATCCTCTCACCCCGCCAAACCTCTGACCTGTGCCCCAGCAACTATGTGCATAAAATAAATAAATCTTTAAAAAAATAAAATAGAATAAAATGATAAAAATGTAAAAACAAAAAGACCTGGAAACTAAACTTTCTTACTTTCATAGAGATGGCATGTACCAAACATTTTTGCACTATGTATTTTGAAATAATAATAGACTCCCAGGGAGTCGGGGGGAAAAAGAACAAAGAATCTAAAGCATTCTTTACCCAGACTCCCCTGATGATGACATCTTATAATAGATTAAAATAAAATCAAAGCCAGGATATTGACTTTGGTACAATATTGGTTTAAAGCCTGATTCCATTTGTGTGTGTATGTG